ATTAAGATATTATTTGACTTCAGAGGATACTCTAAGCACCATATTTATTGTAGTTCCTTAGAGCTATTTTGATTAACCATTTCCCAGATTTTTGTCAAATAATTTTGTAGTGGTTTGACAAAATCTAGTGCTCCCCACCCATAGACTATCCCCTCTATAACTACATGGATACTATGGAGATTCCATAAACATCTGTCCAACCTTAGATATGAATGCTATGCTTAGTCCCCATGTAAGGAGGTGTGGTGTCATCATGCTCTGAGTCCATATTTCTCAACTGTCCTGGGTTCTATAGGGCCATTCTGAGTTTGGAGTTCTGTCCTGCTGTCCCAGGTTTCTTCACTGGTGTCCACATATGCCCAATCATGAGACACCAATGTCCAAATCTGCACAGTGCAAGCATAACATTAGACATGCTCACATTACTCGGATAAACTCCTGGCACTAAGACCATAAACAAAGATCTTCAATAGTTGGGCTGGCTAGTGTGCCTATCTCTCAGGCTGACATGCCCCCTTGTTGGGTGGGATTGTCCCTTTGATGAAGAGACCCACTTATTGTCAATGCCACCTTACTGGTCACCCATCTACCTACCCCATTCCAAAAAGAGTAACTCACAATATTAGAAGGATTATTGATGCAACAACATCTACATCTTAGCTAATCTTTATATGCAAATATAGGAGACAAAAGGTTTGTGGAAGACTAATGGAAGCTCTGCTTCTTAATTGTGGCGGATACCCCGATATAGAGAGGGGTTTACACCACCAAGAGAGGTTCTTTCCACCTAGCATGAAGAGAACTGTGATAATTCTTAGACGTGAGGAAATAGTGATTATAGCTATTCCCCCACGCACAAGACGAGGCTCTGTGTTGAGAGTAAAACAGGAATTGGTTTAATAGAGTCACAGGCTGGCTTTTATGTAGGTCCCCATGCAAGGGGTTTCTGGTGACATATTCCAGGGGCATTCCCCACTGGACCTGAGAGGGCACAGTGACATGAACACACACATAATTACTTTAGCTCTCAGGTCCAGGACATACAGAATCAAAATACCCCAAAATACACATGTAGCTGTGAGGTACCCCCTCAAGTCATATATGCCCTGGTAGCTTGGATCTGAGCGCCCAACATATGTCAAAATCACTCATATCCCACGAATATAGCTGAAACGTCACCAGGGTATAGTTTAGACCGACCGCACATGAGGCGCCTGCCCAAAACAGTTCCATGAAATCATGCTGTGCGGTTGGTCTCTTTTGGGAGCACGAAAACATATCAAAATAACGAAAATAACTGTTCGTGTCTGTGGTTCTCCAGTGTCTCTTGTTCGGATGGTTAAGTATACCGAACGCCACTGCTTTCGTACAAGGGAAACCAAGGGAGGTCTGGAAGTCCCAGCAGTGTTCGTGCAGTCAAGTGCCTGATAACAGTTCCATACACTCGACGACAAAACACCGCTGGCTGTGTTCGACAGACAAGATGGCCACCGCCACGTGTTGGTGCATGCACGAATGATGACCACCTAGCCGTCTGCTCAGAATGTTGAGGTGTTTGTGGTTACCCAAGGTGTTGGAAAGGTGAATGGGGTAAATAGGCAGCACACTCCACTACTGGGTGGTCGGTCGTTCGGTAGTTGGTTTGGTTTTGCGAACGAGACCAGGGTATTCATAGAGAAGGTTATAATTACCGAACAAACTGATGAACTAAGAAATAAATATAAAATCCAGGGACAGGGAGGTCTGTCACATTGATAATATCTTAATGTTCTGGTGGAACATCTCAGTTAAAGTTGTTTATGTTATAGGTGTGGCATTACTGCTGAAAACAATGGTTTGACTAAAATCAAAGACATTCCTGGTGATTTGGCCTAAATGTAGGACCTTCTTAGATGAGTATGTTTGTATGCTTTCAGAGTTATTTTACACATTTTAGTAACTTAGCTAATCTTGTAGATGCTGAATGGGATAGGTTGGAGCCAAAACAAATGAGTTGCTATTACAGTGGAATGAGTGCACAGAAGTATAGTATGTTGCCATTATATATATTATTAGTAAGACATCACAATATATATGTAGTATAGTTTCAGGGAGCAGTTCAAAAGACAAGGAACTGAGAAGGGCTTGAAGAATGGTATCAAAATAAAACACAGACAACCTGTAATTACATATCCTAATGGTTAAGTAAATGTTAGCAGTTAATTGTGTGCTTTGTTTATTTGTATGAAATGCAAGGCACAGCTTGGCATCCAATGTAAATGAATAGTTTACAATTTATTCACTAACAATGCATGCATGCCCATAGAATTGTGGAAAGATATTGACACTAAACATATTCACGTGTAGTAGAGGTAAATTTGTTTCATATTAAACTCTTCATCTCTGTTCTCATTGACACTTTTTTAAATTCACAATGCATGACAGAATGCTATACAAATTTCAATGATCCCCTTATTGTCATACAAGCAAAAATGTATACATGTATAATTTCTTTGCTGATACCTGAGCAGGCCGAGCATTAAGGGATAGTGGCAGTCAACATACACACTGAAATGCCACAAAGAAAAGTACATTTTTATTTTGTCTTTGTTTATTTTTTTTAATAGCAGAACACTTCAACTGCATTTACTGAGGTGAAGGAACAAAGAATTTTCACTTCCAGAGAAGTGGTAACTGCATTATGAATAATATCGATGTTCATTTTTTTTTATACCTTCTTCTATTAACCTGTATGTGTAGTTTTTGGATTTTTCCCTTTTTTTTCGATTAAATTTACCATGTGGCAAACTTTTCATTCACAGTAAAAATACCTTTAGGTTATTTCGCGAGTTCCAGATCTAAGCATTGTGTTCTGTGTCGTAGAAGTACTCACTAACCTTTCAGCAACCTTAGAAAAATCAATTGAAACAACGAACAAAATGCTTTGATTCAATAGCAGTTATTTTCCATACTGGTGGACATCATTACTTTAAAACATTAAATGAAGGATCAATCGCTCAGCTTTCAACAATTTTAAAAGTAGGTCGCACAGAAAGGAAACTTGAAAGCAAAGAAAGATTTGTCACTGAGAATGTTCTTGTAGACATCTCGAATATTGTATGGGGGGAAAAAAAGCATAGCTGAGAGCATTTGTAAGTGTTTGATTTTCTAAACTGACAAGTTAAAGCTTTTATTATACATTGACTATATAATGGAATCTCTACTTAAAAGATATTTAAGGCAAAGGGCTGTAGAAGTGGTTTTGACAGCAGGCAGATTTCCTGAAATAACGGAAGGATATGATAAAAAAAATGTTCATAATTCTGCTTTAAAGAACTGTCGCTTCTCTAGTAATCACACCATTAAATAAAACATTTTAAATCACCTATAACTTGTGTTAACCTTTTTTTTTTTTTTGTGATGCTCCATTTTCTGATAAAATGTTTATTAAAGATTTAACAAGTGACATCACGAGCCAGTTAAGTCCAGGCAAAGCTAGAACAGACAATGCAGACGAGGAGGAGAAGAAATATATTGAAAGTTATGCATATATACTGTTACATTTGCTTTCACATTTGCACCAGTTTTATTCATATGAGCCATTTTCACATGTATAAAACTGTTACTCTGGGTTTTTACACAGTGGATACTTTTCTTCCTCTTAATCTGTGTTTTTGCCACTGTGTATTCATCTTTTTTTTTTTGCTCCTTTTTACCTAGAAGAATTTTATAATTGATTATTTCACAAAATGATAATAATTAATAATAATGCCTTAAACTAAAGAAAGATCATGAAGGCAGCTTACCTGTCGCAGAAAAAAACTATGGAATAAAAAGCACACTTTTGAACCTCTTTTTTAAACATTGGAAGCGACAAATTTGTGAACCATATAAATAAATAAAACGGACAGGAAACAAAAATTATAGAAGAGGTGTAGTAATGAATATTTTTGATCAATAAGGGAATAAGGGTTTAAATAGGAAAAAAGCTAGAAAAGGCCAAGAGCGATAAAATGATTGCAATGCTTTTTCCACATAACTTCCCTAGTTCCAGTTTCTGTTCTTATTCTACAGGGATATCAGCAAAAACACCCAAGTTGCACGTAATGAAATAAATACTATTTGGGAAGTTAAAAACTGATTAGAGAGAGGGAGTAAGATCATAACAACTGGAGAAAGAGGTTACCAATCCCTTGAATAACTGAAATAAATATATATCACTATAAAATATAGCGAGACACCAGAAGCTAAATTTCAGAAAAAAAAAAAAGGTAATAAAATAAAAACATATGCCCTATAAACTTAAAAAAAGCAATATAATACAATATAGGACTCAGAGAAAGTGAAAAATATAAGTACAATAGATAATAATAATAAAGACAATAAAATCCAAAAAATAATCAAGAAATCAATATAAAAGTAAAAATATAAGGTGCAAAGAAAACAAAATTTAAAAAAAGAAAAATATATAAACATGTAAAAAAATCTAAATAAATTAAAAAAACTATTTGGACTACTTGAGGACATACTCTTTAAGGACATACCTATTTTCATTTATTCATTTTTAAAAATGTATTTATTTATTATTTTTCATATTTTTATTATTTGATTTTCTTTGCAAGGCTCCATTGTGTGTAATATCAATTGATCAAATGAAATTGGTTCATTAATAAAAAAGTTATTGACTTCTCAAACCATACTCTGAATTTTTTCCACCCCATATATATATTCTTTTTAAAAATAAATAGCACTCTAGGCCTTGTCAAATAAATGTCAATTTACTTTTCAAAATAAATCTAGTAATAGTCAACATTTCAGCTTGTATGTCGAACTTTCACCGGCACATATATCATATCATATATGTCCTGATGAAAGTTAGAGATACAAACTGAAATGTCCACTATTGATGGATTTTTTTTGAAAATTAAATTGACATTTATTTGACAAGACCTCAAGTGCTGCTTTTTTAAAATTGATTATCTAATTTGTGGCTGAGCATCGGCATTATCTTCTTTGTGGCTGGAGTGCAGTACTTTACTACATTGTGTGTGTGTGTGTATATATATTTTTATTTTTTTATTTTTATTAATTAATAAAAACATGTTTTTATATATACATATATATATATATATATATATATATATACACACACACACACACACACACACAATGTAGTAAAGTCCTGCACTCCAACCACAAAGAAGTTAATGCCGATGCTCAGCCACAAATTAGATAATCAATAAAAAATAAATATATATAATTTCCCTTCTCTCTATACCCCCTTTTAATTAAATATTCCTTTTTTTTCCGTCTCTAACAATTTTTTCCGTCTCTTGCTAAACCATTCAAAGTATTTACAAATGCTTTGAAAATGCTGTAGCTCCCTTTTATTTGAAAGTATTACTTCATACACAGTGTCTGCTTCAGTGATTCAGGGATGTAAAGTGGTCACGGTGTTTGGAATCTGTATGTGCAACCTTTTACTTTGAAACTCTGCGCATACTGTGGTATTACTGACAGAGGTGTAACCTCATTAGTCAGCTTGGTACAAGAGTTCCGTCCTGGATAATGTCAATTCTGTGCATGTTCTATGCAAAAAATTTAATTGATTGGCTGAGAGAGCCCAGCTGACACTTTCAGCCAATGAATGACAAGTCGAATTAGCATCCGGCTATCATATTATATTGTGGACACAGGTAAAAGGGCAAACTGTTGTCCCATTACTGGAAAATGGCTCCAATACTCCTGGCATCATAACTGTAACAGTGGTTATCATGCTTGGAGTAACCTTTATTTATTAAATTCAATTTGATATAACAAAAATAATTCAAAACACACACAAGCAAAGGGTGCTTTTTAATTCAAAATTCACTTTATTAGAAGCCCATGATCATAAAGGAGCTTTATGGTTTATGTTTAGACACATTAACTTTTAACATGAGTATGTTGCATCTATGCATGGATTCACTAGTTCTTTAAGTCAAAGTGAAATGTTTAAATGTAAGAAACAAGTACAGCATATATAATGTATAAAGGTAGCATTGCAACATCAACTTCAAATTACATTATGGGGAAAAAAATCACAGAAAAACATTTTAAATCATTCAAAAGTAATTAGGAACTTAAAATTCTAAATTTAAACCTTGCTGTTTTTATGTGTATTCGACTTTACAACAGTTAATTTTAAAAGAAATCCACTTTTTAAAGAACAAATTTGGTTGCTAGTTTAGAAGTATTTATGTTCAAGTAGCGTGATTGTCACACATTAATAATGCTCATCTCAATAATAAAAATGTCACATTAAACAGACAGTTATTAAAAAAAAAGACTACAACATGGTAACCCCTACAACAGAAAAATAACACCTCTGTATGTTCAGCTAAGCTCATCAAGTGACTTTTAATAATATACACCATGACAACGGTTTACATGAGGAAACAATTTTTTGGAAACTCCCTATATCCAATTATTTTTACAATGTCTGGCATGTGCTCCATGATATATAAAACTCACATTTCATTCTAACAATAATGCATAAGCTATGTTTTCTATATAGGATAGAAACTGTTTAGTATGTGTAATTTGCAATTAAGGTTCAATTATTCTACACATACACTATACATTTATAAGCATTAATATAAATAAAGAATTTAAGACAAAATAAAAAAAAATCTGAATTAAACTCATTATATGAATGGATTTTGTACTTTTTAAGATACTTTGATTTCGTGTTATATGGGAATACTGTTTCAGCTGTATGGTATCAACAGATTAGCTGCGCCCAGAGATTACAGCTCAAAGAAATATATAGTTACATGGCAATACAAACTTCACCTCATATAATCTGACTAGAAGTAGAGAGCAGGTTGGGAGTTCACTAATTTTTGAAATGTGGTGGACTGATAAGGAAACAGCTACATTTAAACTATTATAATACAGATGCAAAATTTTCTAATTTTTTGGGGGACAGTCCTACATTTTGGGGTACTGTCCAGCAAAACTAGCTCCCACAGGACCTGACTAGGCACTAAGACCATGCCCCACAGGAGGGGACTGAACACTAGGACCATGCACACATCACTTAGCAGATCTCAATGCATGGTTTGCAATGAGGGGGTATGCTGTCAGTCAGGTGGTAATACCCCTATGCCATGCCCTCTGTGCAGTGTTCTGTGCAGACTAGTCTCTTCCCTGCCAGCATTCCAGATTGAAAGAAGTCATTGAATAATTATATTTGAGAATTCTGCTAGCTTAGCTGTTTGAGATAAAAGGCAGTACTCGTTCCCCAAACCTCAGTGTCCAGACGGACATGGTCAAGAAAGCATTGTAGGAGGGGCCTGCTTGACTCACTCACTCACCCACCTAGCTAGGAATTTGAATTAAAGTATACAAAGTTTTCCTGAGCCTGTATGGATTTAGAAATGAGAGATGAGCCACACAAAAAAATTAGGAATATATTTTGGATTAAAACTTTAGCTGTGTTTGGTCTTTAAAACTAAATGGTATTTGAGTCATGCATTAGATATTCTCTTGAGCTCGGTGTTCACAGCATTTGGTAGCTTTAATTACATTACTTCTAGTACTTGTCTTTTAGACATATCTCCAAACAGCAATAATTGAGTGCTTGCCATTATCAGGAATTCATCGGATATACTTTTAGTTAAATTATTGGAGTAGAGCCCATTCTGTGTTGTTTCATTTCTGTATATGAACGGGTCTACAAGTCATATTGCCGTGCACATTATTCAAAAGCTATGATTGAAGGAACAGGCAGCTGTTCAGGATCTTAAACAGATGTCCTAAATCATGAAGCATAAATTCACGTTGAGAAACAAACACTGACTCTGGCAGGCAACAGTAAGCTGTTTAATAAATATACGTGGTTTCCACCTGCATGCACCTTTCATGTTTCCACCAGAGTTTATTCAGATTTACTGTTTATTTAAAATGGAAGATACATTGCCAATTGGGGATCCATCCAAATCAACTCTTCCAAAGTCGATTATTTATTCTGTGACTGTTTGAAAATGTTCTTTCTGGTTCAATAATATTCTGTTCTTGTTCAATGGATAAAGGCGCAGTAGGAGTAATGTGCATATAAAAAAGATTATCTCTACAAAAGGAAAATGAGGTGCCTTATCATTTTATACATTCGTATTTATGTCAAATTCGTTTGATATTTGCATGTGACATGCTCATCTGATATGTGGTATAATCATCTCAATAAATAAGAGTTTTACAAAAAAAAAAGTTAAAGTGTGAGGAGGTGATTGATATATTTGGGCCGTAATAGTGATAAAAAAAACCAAAACACGCCTGTGTTTGCTTTTTTACATTTTGTAAAGTTGAATATTTTTTCACTCGCGTTTCTTAATCTGAAATTGTGCTTTCTCAGCCAGTTTGCAAGATCAATACGTTATTACACGTATACATGCAGGATACTAAGAATAACACCTGTGAAGATTTGTATTGCCCCCAATAATCATCTAGAATCTAAACAATGAGTCGTAGATAAATAAAAAACATTGCATTGAATAGATGCTGTAAAATATTTTATCGTACCTTTTATATATTGTATACTGTCTTATTTAGTATGTTTTACCATCAGTCTTTCAACCATCATTCCAAAACCACAAACTTGCTGTCTCTGTCATTATTGACTTGGCTTTGTCTTTCTTTCTTGACATTTTGTCACTTTCCAAATTCTTCTGACTATTAGTATATAAACCTATAGCACATATACATTTAAACACAAAGTTCAACCAAATATCTTTTTGCAATGTTGACTTCCAATTGTGTTACTGTAACCTATTTTTCATTGCAACCTTCTTCTTACAGTCCTTAAAGAACACTAGATCTGTTCAGGGTGATAAAATATGGTTCTTCTGAACCACTATACAAGAATTTTTTAATTTATATTTTAGGAAGGTAGCATTTAGTTATTTAGTTGTTCAGTCGAATGTTGGCACCAATACAACAACAATATTGCCTGGCTTAATTGCTACGCAATATCAGGAATTTTTGCAATGTCAACTCTGAGTTGCCAAAATTAGAATACTAAATATCTGGATTAAAAAAAAACATAGAAAGTGAGAGAACCTCTATGATGAGTGATTGTAACATTTTTATTTTTGCTATTTTGTATTATGAAACGTGAAGCAGGAGTGAGTTTAAGTTGAAAACAGGAGATTTATCTAAAAATAAAATCTCAATTGACCACCCACTCACCCCTTCCACCCTAGCAAGAATAAAGGTTTCCCACAAACCAGTCTGAAGTGCCATTGATGACTTTGAGTATGGGAAAAAACAGTGCCCTATCAGCTTCTTCCAACTGTATCTGCGGAGGTAACAGGCAGCTCATAACTCAGTCAGGCAGGGCAAAACCACTACTATGAAAGCAGAAACTACAAAACAGAAGCAGCATTAATTTAGTTTTACTTTTTATCTTTTTTTATTTTATGTATTTTTTTTTTTTTTAGGTGGGTTGAACAAAGGCATGGCCATTGGCATCATTTTAAACAACTTTTTTTTTTTTTTTTTTAACAAAGCGTTAAAAAAAGACCTGCCATAATTAGTGCAGGAAAAGTCCACAAGTTCATTAATCTGTAACCACACACTGTATATTACTGAGGGAAGAAACTTGCAATTTCCAAAGCACAATCAGTGACACAGAAGCACACTGCAAACCTAGCAAGAGGAACTATTCAACATGCCTCTGTCAACTACTGGCACTATCCTCACCAACCTTCTCTCTGCCATTGGTGATGGTAGTAGTAGTAGTCAAGGAGGTAGTGTTGGTAGTAGGCTGTGATAACTGTGCAAAATCAGATACAGCATCAGTGGACCTGCTGCCTGCCCTAATACTTTCCACTTCCTAGTACTTAGACCTAGTACTTGTTCCACTTCCTACTTTAGTAATACAGACTTATGGTCTTTGCAAGTCAACCTTCCTGGTGACACTCAAAGTGATCCCAAACGTTGCTTTGTTGGGGAAACACAGTACACTTAACTCTTTGCCTTATGTCTGCTGAAGATGCAGGTGGATTTGCATCTGTAACCGTGCAAGCTGTTGCACCACTAATCTTCACATTTGCACTTTGTCCATTAATTGCTAAATAAATTGATGGTGCTGACATTGGTAGTGATGGCGCTGGTGATGGTAACATGGAGAGTGCATGAGCTACTTGTGCC